TTTATGAGGCCAGCATCACCTTGATCCCAAAACCAGACAAGGATCCCATCAAAAAAGAGAACTACAGACCAATATCCTTGAGGAACACAGATGAGAAAATTCTCACCCAAATACTAGCCAATAGGATTCAACAGTACATTAAAAGGATTATTCACCACGACCAAGAGGGATTTATTCCAGGGCTGCAAGGTTGGTTCAACAACCGCAAATCAATCAATGTGATACAACACATTAATAAAAAAAAGAACAAGAACCATATGATACTCTCCATAGATGCTGAAAAAGCATTTGACAAAGTACAGCATCCCTTCCTGATCAAAACTCTTCAAAGTGTAGGGATAGAGGGCACATACCTCAATATTATCAAAGCCATCTATGAAAAACCCACAGCGAATATCATTCTCAATGGAGAAAAACTGAAAGCTTTCCCGCTAAGGTCAGGAACACGGTAGGGATGTCCATTATCACCATTGCTATTCAACATAGTACTAGAAGTCCTAGCCTCAGCAATCAGACAACAAAAGGAAATTAAAGGCATCCAAATCGGCAAAGAAGAAGTCAAACTATCACTCTTCGCAGTTGATATACTATATGTGGAAAACCCAAAAGACTTCACTCCAAAACTGCTAGAACTTGTACAGGAATTCAGGAAAGTGTCAGGATATAAAATCAATGCACAGAAATCAGTTGCATTTCTCTACACCAACAACAAGACAGAAGAAAGAGAAATTAAGGAGTCAATCCCATTTACAATTGCACCCAAAACTATAAGATACCTAGGAATAAACCTAACCAAAGAGGCTAAGAATCTATACTCAGAAAACTATAAAGTACTCATGAAAGAAACTGAGGAAGACACAAAGAAATGGAAAAATGTTCCATGCTCCTGGATTGGAAGAATAAATATTGTGAAAATGTCTATGCTACCTAAAGCAATCTACATATTTAATGCAATTTCTATCAAAATATCATCCCTTTTTTTCAAAGAAGTGGAACAAATAACCCTAAAATTTATATGGAACCAGAAAAGACCTCGAATAGCCAAAGCAATATTGAAAAAGAAAGCCAAAGTTGGTGGCATCACAATTCTGGACTTCAAGCTCTATTACAAAGCTGTCATCATCAAGACAGCATGGTACTGGCTCAAAAACAGACACATAGATCAATGGAACAGAATAGAGAGCCCAGAAATAGACCCTCAACTCTATGGTCAACTAATCTTCGACAAAGCAGGAAAGAATGTCCAATGGAAAAAAGACAGCCTCTTCAACAAATGGTGTTGGGAAAATTGGACAGCCACATGCAGAAAAATGAAATTGGACCATTTCTGTACACCACACACGAAAATAGACTCAAAATGGATGAAGGACCTCAATGTGAGAAAAAAATCCATCAAAATCCTTGAGGAGAACACAGGGAGCAACCTCTTCGACCTCAGCCGCAGCAACATCTTCCTAGGAACATCGCCAAAGGCAAGGGAAGCAAGCGCAAAAATGAACTATTGGGACTTCATCAAGATGAAAAGCTTTTGCACAGCAAAGGAAACAGTTAACAAAACCAAAAGACAACTGACAGAATGGGAGAAGATATTTGCAAACGACATATCAGATAAAGGGCTAGTGTCCAAAATCTTAGCAAATCTTACCAAAGAACTTAAAAACTCAACACCCAAAGAATAAATAATCCAATCAAGAAATGGGCAGAAGGGGGCACCTGGGTGGCTCAGTGGGTTAAGCCTCTGCCTTCGGCTCAGGTCATGATCTCAGGGTCCTGGGATCGAGCCCCACATGGGGCTCTCTGCTTGGCGGGGAGCCTGCTTCCCCCCCTCTCTACCTGACTCTCTGCCTACTTGTGATCTCTCTCTCTCTCTCTCAAATAAACAAAATCTTTAAAAAAAAAAAAAAGAAATGGGCAGAAGACATGAACAGAGACATTTCTGCAAAGACATCCAGATGGCCAACAGACACATGAAAAAGTGCTCCATATCACTTGGCATCAGGGAAATACAAATCAAAACCACAATGAGATACCACCTCACACCAGTCAGAATGGCTAAAATTAACAAGTCAGGAAATGACAGATGCTGGCAAGGATGCGGAGAAAGGGAAACCCTCCTACACTGTTGCTGGCAATGCAAGCTGGTGCAACCACTCTGGAAAACAGCATGGAGGTTCCTCAAAATGTGGAAAATAGAGCTACCCTGTGACCCAGCAATTGCACTACTGGGTATTTACCCTAAAGATACAAACGTAGTGATCCGAAGGGGCACGTGCACCTGAATGTTTATAGCAGCAATGTCTACAATAGCCAAACTATGGAAAGGACCTAGATGTCCATCAACAGATGAATGGATAAAGAAGATGTGGTATATATACACAATGAAATACTATGCAGCCATCAAAAGAAATGAAATCTTGCCATTTGCGACGACGTGGATGGAACTAGAGGGTATCATGCTTAGCAAAATAAGTCAATCGGAGAAAGACAACTATCATATGATCTCCCTGATACAAGGGAGAGGAGATGCAACATGGGGGGTTAAGGGGGTAGAAGAATAAAGGAAACAAGATGGGATTGGGAGGGAGACAAACCATAAGTGACTCGTAATCTCACAAAACAAACTGAGGGTTGCTGGGGGGAGGGGGGGGTTGGGTGAGGGGGGTGGGGTTATGGACATTGGGGAGGGTATGTGCTTAGGTGAGTGCTGTGAAGTGTGTAAACCTGGCGATTCACAGACCTGTACCCCTGGGGATAAAAATATATATTTATAAAAAATAAAAATTAAAATAAATAAATAAATAAATAAAATCCTTTTTTTTTTTTTTTTTTAAAGATTTTATTTATTTGAGAGACAGTGGAAGCTCTATGTTTACTTCATTCTCCAGATTTTCCTTGGTGGATAAAGGGGAATTTTCCTCCTGAAGGGAGATATGCTTTTGGTAATACATTATCAGATAATTATAGAAGGCCACGAAGTTAAATCCTTTTCTTTCATCTTGCACACGCAAAACCAAGGTTCAGATGATTAACCTGTTAAATGCCATTTTATGATTTTGTGATGAGAATGAGCGGTAATATCCCACAATAACAGAAAACATTTTTTTTTAGTCCTACAATATAAAACATGACTATTTTGGTCCCAATCACTTTCTGAATTTACACTAACTGTATTCTTACATATTCTAGAGAAACACTTCTATTTTCTTATTGGAAAGTTATCAATATTCCAGAAACAAGTACACAAAAAAAACCTTAAATACCATTGAGTGTCTCCTGTCGTAATGATTCAAGCTCTCAGCTCCGCTGTCTTGATCCACTGTGATCTTACCTAGAATTAACTGTATGGATAGTTCTTCTTACAGTAAAAATTTTTCTTCGGGGGCACCTGGATGGCTCAGTGAGTGAAAGCCTCTGCTTTTGGCTCGGGTCATGATCTCAGGGTCCTGGGATCGAGCCCTGCATCGGGGTCTCTGCTCGGCAGGGAGCCTGCTTCCTCCTCTCTCTCTCTCTCTCTCTGCCTACTTGTGATCTCTGTCAAATAAATAAATAAAATCTTTAAAAAAGATAAAACAACAACAAAAAAGAACAAAACTTCTTTGGAGATACCAGGCCTTGCTCCCATGATTCCTGTGAACATTCTTTTCTTTTTTTCTTTAAAGTTTTTATTTATTTGACAGAGAGAGACAGCAAGAGCAGGAACACAAGCAGGAGAGTGGGAGAGGGAGAACCAGGCTTCCCGCTGAGCAGGGACCCCGAGGCGGGGCTCAATCCCAGGATCCTGAGATCATGACCTGAGCCAAAGGCAGATGCTTAATGACTGAGCCACCCAGGCGCCCCGTCCTTGAACATTCTGCTAAACTCATCAGATTTAGGGGAATTCAAACAAACCAGATGACCATTCATTATCCTTAGCCAGCCATGAGGCCCTTTGGCAAAATATCTCTGGGAGTGTTAAGCCCCAATTACCTGGTAGCAGGCCTTGCCATGGGAATCACGCCACCTCAGGTACCTTATATTCATTTAGTTAAGAAGTGTCAGGAGAAATTTAGGCTGGAGGCAAAGGAGTGGAAGGAACAGTGAGAAGAAAGATATGGCAGATTATATAATGGCAGCATAGGAATTATAGGAGAAAGAAGATTCTGTTTCCAGCCAGGTTGAATTGTAGACCAAGGACTATAGCAGGGAAGTCAGGAAGAACTGGTTTGGCTAAACGCTGAAAATCTGCCTTGCAAAAACTTACTAATTATATGCCTGAGGTATTACAAAGTATTATAATAGCAAACAAATCTGAGATTTGATATGTCTCTGTTAAAATCCAGTAGCTTCTTCAATGATCTAAGAAAACATTCTTAATTCCATTTAGGTTCATGTAAAGGTCTAATGCAGATGAACTTTCTTGAGAACAAAAATTCAAGCAACTTTTGAATAAAACAGATGGAATTACTCACTAAAAGCACACTGACTGTACATAACAGAATTTGAAGTGAATAACTTAGGTTCAATATTATTTCATTAGAGACCAACAAATCACAAAATCTTATTACTTAAAATACTTTAACTTCTAAAAAGTGTAAGCCATATTAAAACTGAAATAATTTTATTGTACAGTACTTGACAATATAATTCAACAATCTGAAAAGTAAACAAACCACTTAAATAATTTTAATTTACTTTCTAAGCTTAACAATGTACAAATTCTTTTGCCCTCCAGGAGGAAGCAAAAGTCAACAGTGAAAGTGGAATATTTAAGTTAATTCAATGTAAGGTATTTGGACAAAGGGATTTAATTTTTTAAAGTAAGCTCTACACTCAACGTGGGGCTTAAACTCACAACCCTGAGATCAAGTCACACTACTGACTGAGCCAGCCAAACACCCTTGGCCAAAGGGATTTTTTAAAACCAAGTTTCATCTGGCAATATCCTACAACTAGCAGTATGTCCACAGTTGATAGGAATTTAAAACAAAACAAATGCAATCTAATCAAATCCACAATTAAAAGAAGTTTTCATTTTATTTTTTGTGAATGAAATAGCAGCCATGGTTTTATCTAATTTGCTAAAGGTATCACCTTCAAAAAAAATTACCTGCCCAATCTGCAAAACAAGAACAGTTATCTTCTGTTCAAAGACTGGAAGCTTTTCAAACTTAGTTCTCGCCCATCTGTGCCGTAACTTCCAAATAAATCAATGGCTCCAGCTAATGTGTAGGCAGTCAAGTACCCTACATGATCATTTCTTCCATGCAATCATCGAATAGCCACCTACAAGATTCTTTGAAACACTCAATAGTTTCAAAAAGCTGTTTAAAGTCTTGTGGGTACAGATCTGTTATTTTCATGTCTCCATGTTTCCCCATTTCCTTCAATATAGCCGTTGCATTAACTGGACTCAATAACCTGCAAACGAAACACAAAGTAAATCTGCTTAATTCATTTTTATAATCGCAGTAAATATTGGTAGAGATGGCTTCTATGCCCAATTTAAAATGCTTAACTTAGGGGCGCCTGGGTGGCTCAGTGGGTTAAAGCCTCTGCCTTCGGCTTAGGTCATGATCCCAGAGTCCTGGGATCAAGCCGCGCATCAGGCTCTCTGCTCAGCAGGGAACCTGCTTCCTCCTCTCTCTCTGCCTGCTTCTCTGCCTACTTGTGATCTCTGTCTGTCAAGTAAATAAATAAAATCTTTAAAAAAAATAATAAAATGTTTAACTTATGGATATATAATTAATCTTATTTAAGAGCTTGCATATAATGTATAGCTTTTATTATCATTTCTAAAGTTTCACGGCTTACCTGTACGAAAAAAGCAAATTTGGGCTTTAACACATTCTCAATTCTAAAACAACATTCTAGTCTAATATTGCCCTTCAAAAATATTCTGCCTACCTCTTTCATCTGCTAACTCTCTTTGCAAAAACAATCTTAACTCCATTTAGGTCCATAGAATAGTTCAGTAAGTACAAACAGCAGAAACTGGAATCCAGCAGATTTCAAAAAGGGAACAGTTTTTACCTCTTCATGTAATAATTCCTGGTGAATAAATTATAAAGCAGAAAACTGCCTTATTTATCGGCCTGGCAAGAAACCATCAGTGAGCCTCTGACAATAACAACTGAACAAGTTTCGTATGTTGGTAGAAACTGTTTCCAATATTTTTTTATTTTGAATGGAATGCCGGTCACAGGTGTAAACATGTTTTTAATTCAGAGATCACCAAGGGAATTTTAAAACAATTTTTCACCACATTTTACCTATTTACTGCTTAATTTCCTATAGTCTTTTTTTTTTTTAAGGTAGGCTCCACGTAGAGCTTGAACTCACAACCCCAAGATCAAGACCTGAGCTGAAATCGAGTCAGATGCTCAACTGACTGAGCCACCCAAGTGCCCCAATTTCCTATATTCTTGATATTTTCATTTAAAATAGCATATTTAAATGAAAATGAAAATACCAAGAATATAGGACTATATGGAAAACTGAATTTTATTTTTCTTAAAATGTGCACCGGGGAAGGAAGTGTTGTGAAGAAACAGATGAGTGAAAACATGGTACCTCACTCTGTTACTCAAGATATTATACAAGATCCAGAAGATAGACCTTTAACATGAAAGTATGACTCTTATATTAAATTGCTTTTATACTTGCTTTTATTCTTCTTACTTACTGTAAATGGTCCATTAGTCTGAAATTGCGCTTCATAAAACACTGCTTTAACATGTGAAAAAATACATCATAGTTAACAGATGTTAAATTTTCTGTAAATAAATTCTGAAGAGGAGTCAGTTGAATTAAACACATGTTTTCTCCTACTTGTTTATCTGTTTGTGCTAATGGATTCTGGAAAGAGAAAAAAATAGTGTTAGTCATAAAATACTACCAGAGCAAGAAGGGGTTCGCTTACTCATTCAAGCTAGTTATTGGAAGGGGCAATTAGCATACACTCTGAGCGCTCCTGTATACTCTTGCTGGGTGTGCCTAGGATGCAAGGCCCTAAGCACTGTTCACCTGGGTAGTTTCTCTGGGTTGTCTGCAGCACGCCACCGTGAGGGGTGAGATAATGGCTCTATCCAGGACAAAGAGAAGCTTGCTTCATGTTTGCTATAAAAGAAGTGGATTCCCCCAGCTCTGTGTTTCAAAGCTTCAATGCAAGCCCCAGGATGTACACCATCAACTGAGGAACATCACGTTACCCCATGGGAGGTGGGGGCAGTAAAGTCCTTTGTGTGATCCAGGAGTCTACCTTTGGGTAGTATCCATGGAAGAGGAACAGCTTATTAACTTTGAAGAAGGGTAAAATCAAATCCCAACCAGTACACTAACACGTACTGAATTTCTTCTATATTTGAGACACAACACCAGATCCTAAGGATAAAAAGGCATTATTGACTTATAATTTTCCCTCGGATATTTAAAAAACTATGGGGTTACGAACTAAGGTTCACGGCCTGTCTGTTTTTGTATAGTCTGGATCTAAGAATGGTTTTTACCTTTGTAAATCATTGTTTAAAGAAAAAAAAAAGAAAAACAAAAAGCAAAAACAAAGAACAGGACAGGACTATTATGTGGGCTATAAAGCATAAAACATTTGCTGCTCGGCCCTTTACTGGGAAAGTCAGCCAACCTGCTCTAGTATACCATATTTGGATTTCTTTAAAAAGCACATGCCTTAATGTAAGGTTAAGATGTCTTTTCCCTCAGAAATTATCCCCAGGAAAGCACAGAGGCCTTATGTTAAGTCCTTTGGAAATCTCATATATCAGGTAGTGATCCCTTATTTACTTCTCTAACTACATATACACACACATATGTATGTACATACACATTTTTTAGTATATATACTCTTTGTGGAAGACATATTGCCTGAAAAGGAAACTTTCAATAATTTTTGTTTCTAGTTTTGGATGCCTACAGTTGAAGGAATTAGTTAAAAAAAAAAAAAAAAAAAGGAAGGTAATGAAATTCAAAAAATATTTATTTAGTAATCATTCCACATAGTGTTGTATGTTGTATGAATGATGTATCATTGTATGTATGTATGTTGTATCATACCACAAAGTGTTGTATGTTGTTGTTAGTAAGAGTTTTGAAGGTGACTTTAAAAAGCAAGCTAGGGGGTATGTGGCAGGCTCAGTTGGTAGAGCATGCAATTCTTTGGGGTTGTGAGTTCAAGCCCCAGGTTAGGCAACCCCGGTTATTTAAAAATAAATAAATAAATTAAAAAAAAAACAGAAACTGGTGGATAGCTTTGTAGTTACAGATAACAGACTTGATAAATAGGGAAGAAAAAACTGTCTTGGTGTTAAATGGATGGCTATTTGTAGCTTAGGAAAAAAGTTCCAGTGATAAAAATATGGCTTCCAAAAAGTGGAAAATCTGAAACAACTTGGATGGAAAGAATAACGTGCTCTGAAAACTGTTAAATGTCTCAAAGTGCCTCTGTAGCAATTATGAACATGCTGGTATCAGAGACACAGGTGGAACATCTGAATCCAATTCTCTCAGGAAACATGGCGTCTGGTTATCTTCCTTTCACCCCTAAAGTCTGTATGTTTAAGTTAGCAAAAAAAACCTTTTTTAGCTTTTGCTCTTGTCAGTGAAAAAATGATAGTGTGTTATATATAGGAATTTTTACTTTGCGGACATTTGGATAAGTTCCTAATGGACTTAAGCCAAAATAAATTACTCGGATTCTATTTTGTGAGGCTACAAAAATATGCTTATGGAGAGTGAAATAGAGCTAAAACCTCAGTGATCACAACAATGACCACTGAAAGGTCAGATCATTTTTAAATCGATTGCTTTCTTTTTTTTCTTTTAGTGGCAAGAATGAGAATAAAAACTGAAGTAAGTAGGCAAATGGGGCCTTTCAGACTGAAGTTAAACTTTGGATTGTTTTTTAAAATTCAGCTACTTCATTCCAATTTTGCTACAAGTCCCCCTGATATAAAGTAAACAGAAGATCACTTTATAATATCATCACTTTGGTTCTATAAAAAGGGGAAAACACAAACAAAAGCCTCAACCTCTGGGTAAGAAATAAGACATACCGGTTTATGAACTCAATCATTATAAACAGTAATACGACAGACCTCTGACATTTAAAATTACATCTTTAGTTTATCAAATTAGATGAACATTGTATTAGATGACTGTATTTTCCAAACTTGGGATGTATCCTCATTTTAAGAGATAGAGATGGAAGTCAAATTCTGTTTAAGCCTATTACTCTAGTATCCGCTGTATAATCAGCTGAAAATTACAACTCTCCTCCAAAATAATTTGAATTTATTAAAAGCAGTAAGGTATGTTTGAAAGAACATTTCCAAATATTGTTAAAGTAAACATTTAAATAAATACAGAATACCAGATAATCTTAAAACAAAAACAAAAACAAAAACAGGATGTTCCATTTAGAGGGAAAAGAAAAGGGTATTCATTCTTACCTTATTCTTCACCTTTTCCTGTCCCCCACTGTGGCGGTATACGCCAAACGAGGACCAAGGCTCCTTGAGGGAAGGTAAACAAAACCAAAAACATTTTAGTTCTCTTTGAAGTGCCCGGAATTATTACTGCCTCTAAACAACAGAATGAATTAAATTCAAGTCACCATTCTAACCAGACTTAAGAAAAACAACATGGGATAGTTAAATCATAAACTTTCCTCTTCTCTCTTTCTCTCTTTCTTTGACAGAGAGGGAGATCACAAGTAGGCAGTGAGGCAGGCAGAGGGGGTGGGGGAAGGAGGCTCTCTGCGGAGTAGAGATCCCAACGTGGGGCTCAATCCCAGGACCCTGAGATTACGATCTGAACCGATGGCAGAGGCTCAAACCACTTAGCTACCCAGATGTCCCTTCTTCTTTTTTTTAAGATAAATAGAGGAGAAGCAAAGGGCTATCCTGACATTGCTAATCTCTTTCTTACTTAGTTAGAGTATCATCCTTAATATAATTACACAAATAGGTCCTTAAGTTGGCTTAACAGCTAAGATTTCCATATTTCCATAATCAGTTTAGGGGCCATCAGATCAACACTGACATTAATGAATGGCAAAAGTCAACACTGGGCCTTTGAAAATAAATACTACAGAACAAAAAAAGAGAAGACTCTCCAGAAAGCTAAAGTCCTCAGGAGTCCTTTATGAAGAAATTAGCCAACAGTCATAAGGACAGGAGGGAGGCCCAGATAAAAGCCAACAGAATGAGAGATCACTGAGGTAATAAAAGATGAGGGACACCAAGAATGGCAGTACCAACGTTACGTCGTACAAATGCAGGGTCAGTGTTGTGAACACAAGTGTGAAAAGATCTGGGAATACAGGAAAACAGTTAAAGGCATAACAGATACTAAGGACAAGGAACAGAGAGCCAATCTAAGAACCTCATGCATTGGAGGAAAAAAACATAGAATTGGAACAAAAGCTAAGATCAAATGAGTAACATTCTAATGACTAAGTATGCACACTGAGAGGCTTAACTGGCTCCTGGACAACAACACTGAAGGGACTACATGGATATACACATGATGAATTAATTAAATAGTTGATTAATTAATTTTTAAAATATTTTATTTATTTATTTGACAGACAGCGACACAGCGAGAGAGGGAACACAAGCAGGGGGAGTGGGAGAGGGAGAAGCAGACTTTCTGCTGAGTTGGGAGCCCGATGCAGTCCTCGATCTCAGGACTCTAGGATCACGACCTGAGCCAAAGGCAGACACTTAATGACTGAGCTACCCGGGTGCCCCTACAGTGAGGTTTTTAACTGTCCACTGAAAACTTAGGAAAAATGTCTAGTGATGAGAGAAAAAAACGCTTGTATTAGCTATTAAGTGAAAAAAATAAGATACAGGGGCGCCTGGGTGGCTCAGTGGGTTAAAGCCTCTGCCTTTGGCTCAGGTCATGATCCCAGGGTTCTGGGATCGAGCCCCACATCGGGCTCTCTGCTCAGCGGGGAGCCTGCTTCCTCCTCTCTCTCTCTCTGCCTGCCTCTCAGCCTACTTGTGATCTCTTTCTGTCAAATAAATACATAAAATCTTAAAAAAAAAAAAGATACAAAATAATATAATCTTTACTATTTAAAGAAAAAAAAAAACAAAACAAAACACAGGAAAAATAAAAGGATACAAACAGGCTACAAATGTCAATAGTGGCCTCTGGGTGGTGGAATTGTAGTGATGAGTCTTTAAAATTCTTTTCTTCTTTCCCTCTCTCTTTCTTTCTTGTCTCAAATTTTTATAATGAGCATATATTAATTTTATAATCAGAGAAAAGTATAAACATTTGTGACAAAAACATAAGCACCAAGTTACCCTGCTCTATTATCTTCAACAGCTGGGAAAAATAATAAAATTAATTTTTCATTTTTCTCCATTTCCTGGTCACAAAAATATAGCCTCTTTAAAAAACAATTAAGTTCGGGGGCTGGGGGGATTGGGTAACTGGGTGATGGGCATTAAGGAAGACACGTGATGTAATGAGCACTGGGTGTTTTATATAACTGAAGAATCACCGAACTCTACCTCTGAAACTAATAATACATTCTAAGTAAATTAACTGAATTTAAATAAAATAAAATTAAAAAAATAAATAATAAAAAATAAAAATCAAGTTCTCTTTTGCAATTCAGAAGGATTTTACTCACCACATGCAGAAGCTTAATATTACAAGCTACTTGCCAGAGCACACTTAATGCTTGATACAAGTGTGGATTTTGGGGATTTGCCACCAGTTTCTAGTAAAAGAAAAATAAAAGTTACATGTTTACATAACCATAAGCAATCAAAATATAATTCTGAATCTTAAAAGTCATATCTTAATAATATTTAGAAATTAAAGAAAATTAGAATTGCAAAATCTTAACCATAACCATTTCAAAGAAGAGAAAATCTTTTTAAACTTCCATACTGAAATATATCCTCATGTACACTTAAAATATAATGTATGTGAGAATGATTTCCTTTAGCCAAACCCCCATCAGGGCAAAATCTTATTAAAGAAAAAAATGAAACAAAAGTGTACAATTACTCTGGAGAAGGACAAGTGTAGGTCAAAAGTATGTATCAAGTGGGCTAGTAAATTTTGGGTCAAGAATTATTCAGGCTGACACTTGAAGGACGAGCAGTTTCCACAGTGAATGAGAACAGGACAGGACAGCAAAAACGACACATGAAAAGGTCCATGGTAAAGGCAGCACTAAAACATTTCCCCAGTAGCAAGATAAAAACTGATGAAGTGTTACCCGTTTCTCTTCTCGCAATCTTTTTTTTTTTAAATGTTTTGTTTATTTATTTGGCAGAGAGAGATAGCACGCACAAGCAGTGGGAGTGGCAGGGAGAGGAAGAAGCAGGCTCCCCACGGAGCAGGGAGCCCTCTGTGGGGCTCGATCCCAGAGCTGAAGGCAGATACTTAACTGCCTGAGCCACCCTGGCACCTCTTCTCGCAATCCTTCATGTATGTAATGTATGTACAGCCTCAAGGTTCTGAGTCCCGTTATGCTTTCCACGGACAGTCACTATTTCTTTACTGAGTTTTGGTGAGTAAATCACCCTTTCATTTCTTTTTTTCTTTTTAATATTTTTTTTAAAGATTTTATTATTTATTTATTTGACAGACAGAGATCACAAGTAGGCAGAAAGGCAGGCAGAGAAAGAGAAGAGGAAAGCAGGCTCCCCGCTGAGCAGAGAGCCCGATGCAGGGCTCGATCCCAGGACCCTGGGATCATGACCTGAGCCGAAGGCAGAGGCTTTACCCCACTGAGCCACCCAGGCGCCCCCCACCCTTTCATTTCTTATTCCACTACCCTAACCCATAACTCCTACATACACAGAAGCATCTCATGTTACCACGGATTAGAAGATTGATAATGTGAAGCATTCTGAGCAGAAAAGAAACATTACTCTCAAGACACTTTATAAAGAACTTCAGAAGGCTCTTTAATTTCAGAGAGTAGAGTCTAAAAATCTCTAAATATCCCTGTTAGAATACATGAAATCAGCAAAGTTGCAGGATATAAAAATCACACAAAAGTCAATCATATTTCTATACACTAACAATGAATAATCTGAAAAGTAAAATTGAAAAAACAACTCCATTTATAACAATATCCAAAAAAGTAAAATACTTAGGAATCAATTTAAACAAGGAGGAGAAAGACTTGTACACTGAAAACTATAAAACACCAAAGAAAAATATTAAACACAAATGGAAAAACAACCTGTGTTCACAGATTGGAAAACTGACCAATGTTAAAGTGTCAGTACTACCCAAAGTGATCGACAGAGTCAACGCAATCTGTATCAAAACCCAACAATGTTTTTTTCCACAGAAATAGAAAAATCCATCCTAAAATTCATATGGAATCTCCAGAGACACTGAATAGCTTAATGCAATGAAATAGAACACCCAGAAACAGACCCTCATGTGTATGACTAAATGATGTTTAGACAAGGGTACCAAGGCCATTTGATGGGGGACAGTCTTTTTAACAAAAGATGCTGGGAAAACTGGATACCCATATTTAAAAGAATGAAGCTGGACCCTTACCCAACACCATATAAAAAAAAGTAATTCAAGGGGCGCCTGGGTGGCTCAGTGGGTTAAGCCGCTGCCTTCGGCTCAGGTCATGATCTCAGGGTCCTGGGATCGAGTCCCGCATCGGGCTCTCTGCTCAGCAGGGAGCCTGCTTCCCTCCCTCTCTCTCTCTCTCTCTCTCTCTGCCTGCCTCTCCGTCTACTTGTGATCTCTCTCTGTCAAATAAAAAAAAAAAATCTTAAAAAAAAAAAAAAAAAAGGTAATTCAAGATGGATCAAAGACCAGAATACAAAAGCTGAAATTATAAAACTCTTAGAAGGAAACGTAAGAAAAAAAGGCTTCATGACATTGGATTTGACAGTGATTTCTTAGCTATGACACCAAAAGCACAGGCAACAAGGAAAAAAATAGACAAACTGGACTTCATCAAAATTAAAAACTTTGGGACTCAAAGGACACAACAGTGTGAAACAGCAACTCATAGACGGGGAAAAAATATACGCAAATCACATATCTGAGCACGGGTTAATACTGAGAATATAGAAATAACTCCTTAAACTCAACAGAAAAAACAAAAAAACAACCCAAAGAAAAGGGCAAAGGACTTTCACAGACATTCCTCCAAAGATGATATACAGTCTATAAGCACATGAAAAGATGTTCAACATCACCAGTCAAATCAAAGCACCTCAACAGGTATTAAAAACAAAACAAAACAAAACAAAACAGTAAACAAGTGTTGGGGAGAGCATGGGAAATTGAAACTCTCATACATTCCTGGCAGGAATATAAAATGGTACAGACAATATGGAAAATAGTAGGGTGGGTCCTTAAAAAATTACAAAATTAAAAAAAAAAATTAAAAATAGTACTGGAGTGCTTGGTTGGCTTAGTAGTTAAACATCTGCCTTTGGCTCAGGTCATAATCTAGGGGTCCTGGAATCAAGCCCCAAGTTGGGCTCCCTGCTCCGCGGGGGTCTGCTTCACTCTCTCACACTGTGTTCTCTCTCTCTCCATTAAAAAAAAAAAAAAAAAAAAAAAAAAAAAAAAAAAAAAA